GATTTCAGGTATGTCTTGCTACTTCTACTTACACTTAGGTCACACTACACATACATGTACAAGCATATATATACACACCCCTCTCGGTTTTCTTCTATTTTCTTTCTAGTTCATGTTCTTGTTTATTTCCTCTTATCTCCATGGGGAAGTGGAACAGAATTCTTCCTCCATAAGCCATGCATGTTGTAAGAGGCGACTAAAATGCCGGGAGCAAGGGACTAGTAACCCCTTCTCCCATATAAATTACTAAATTTAAAAAGAGAAACTTTCGTTTTTCTTTTTGGGCCACCCTGCCTTGGTGGGATACGGCCGGTTTGTTGGAAAAAATATATATATATAAGAAAGAAGGAGCACTGCAATAGGCCTAATGGCCCATGTGAGGCAGGTCCAATTCTCCCACGGGCTTAAACCAATGCCTTAACCTAGTCAGGTCAGTCACATTCACTTAAGGGAGGAGCATGGCATCTGACCTAGTAGCACAAGCTAGTCAGATCCAACTCACACCCACCCACACCCACTCGTATATTTAGCCAACCTATTTTTAAAACTACACAACATCTTGGCTTCTATGCCGGTACTCAGGAGTTTGTTCCACTCATCCACAACTCTATTACCAAACCAGTGCTTTCCTATATCCTTCCTGAATCTGAATTTTTCCAACATAAAACCATTGCTGCGAGTCCTGTCTATGCTAGATATTTTCAGCATGCTGGTGGGTGTTCCAAGGGTCAACGCCCCCGTGGCCCAGTCTATGACCAGGCCTCAGGAAATATAACTATTTAACCCTTAAACTGTCCAAACGTACATCTACATCCACATGCGGGGGGCTCCGAAAGTAGATCTACATTTTTTTTTACATGCTTTCAAATGGGAAAAATCAAGGTCGGAGCACCACGCATGTGAACATAGATCTACATTTGGACAGTTTAAGGGTTAATAACAATGGCATTGGATATTCTCAACACTGTGCTGTCAGTTCATCCTACCCTTGATGATGAAGGCCTATTTTTAAAACTACACATCATCTATGACAGTAACAGTACTCAGGAGTTTGTTCCACTCACCCACAACTCTATTACCAAACCAGTGCTTTCCTATATCCTTCCTGAATCTGAATTTTTCCAGCTTAAAGCCACTGTTGTGAGTCCTGTCTATGCTAGATATTTTTAACACGCTGGTGGGTGTTCCGTGGGTCAATGCCCCCATAGCCCGGTCTATGACCAGGCCTTAGGAAATATAACTATGTATTTAATAACAATGGTATTAGATATTCTCAACATTGTGCCGTCAGTTCATCCTACCCTTGAAGATGAAGACACCATGAATTTCAACAATTTTCTGAAAGTTAACTTGGCACCACATTTGAGATTTTGTACCAGGCTTTCAATGCTCTAGACCTGGTTGCATGTGCTGACTTGATAGACATGAGGGTCTCTAAGTAGGTTCATTCGCTTTACTCAAACTTTACCAATCTCTTAACCATTTCACTCTTGGTCACACAGATCTACATCATTAAGGTCATTGTACTTACATAAATCTACATCTTGATCACAGTGCCCTCAAATTTGCTGTGAGTGGTAAATTTTGGCCTAGACATGAGAGAATGAGTTTGTGCAGTGGGTGTGCACATTATAAACAAAATCCTGCCCCACACAGGGTATCATGGGAACACCTAACCCCTTAGTTTGTGTTTGTATTAAAATAATTCTTAGTGACAGGTATTTCCCTAGGTGGTTTTCATGGTTTAACCCCGTGACTATCGCAACCCCCAATCCTGAGGTGTGTCCTGGCGTCACAAAATTTAAAAAAAAAAAAAAAAAAAAAAAAATTTCTTTCTCGATTGTAACGACACAAAAAAAAAAAACGAAATTTGATGGAAAACTGACGGAATTACGCTCTCGCGAAGTTAGCGAGCTTGGTGATATTTACAAATCAGCGATTTCACCCACTTTGAGCCCTATTTTCGGCTAGTTCCATTGTTCCAGTTGACCAAACTCATGGCTATTTCTTTAGAACTCCATTTGTTCTATCGATTAAGTACAAAAAACTGCCCATTTACCGATTTCAACTACCCAATAACGTGGTCAGAAATTTTCAATTTGGCCAATTTCATGAAAATTAAAAAATATGACAATTTCAAAATAAGGTCTAGAATGAACAATGCAGACATTCCTGGCTCTAAAATAACATTTTCTTTTTTCATCAGTCACATCTCCAGGCCCCTCTGATATTACTCTTGCTTTCTATTTTGAATTTTTATTCAAACAAAAAATAAAAGATTTACTGTTATGCAGACTACTGCAATACTGTAATAATTGTACAAATAATGTCAACCTATTTATGACTGAATATTAGAATGGCTAGTTGGACATTTATTGGACAATGACATCATTTGTTTACTTTTGAACATCGGCAAAAATCAAACATTTCCTCTACTTTGAGCTCCATTTCCAGGTTCTTTTTATAGTAAAACCAATCAAAATCACCTCTATTTCTATAATATGTTTTCCATTCTATCAAATGAGACCAAGAAAACAAGAATACAACAATAAATACTATACGAAAATAGACCACAAAAAACGGTCGGAGTTTGTTTTTTCATTATGCACTGCGTGCTCCAGGATTTTTTTTACGTATATGGTGCACACTGGCCACACAGACCCATTCTCTCACATGTGGGCCTACCAGCTCTCTTCTGCTTGATTTGAAGCCGCTAGAATTTATGAGTATATATACAGTGGTCCCTTAATAATCGTCCGGCCTGAAAGTCGTCCATTTCAGAAACAGTCCCGTTATTTTGTCTAAACATTGGCTCGCAAATGGTCCGTTAACTCACTAATCGTCCTTCGTCCGGGACGCATACTCATGCTCTGAGCCGCCTGGGCCTGCCTTCCCAGCCAGTGTGCCATTGTTTACCAGTGAGTGACGGTCCCCTCACAAGCTCCTACGAAATATTTCATAATATTCCATTGATTTTAGTGCTTGCAAGTGCTAAATAAGCTACCATGGCTCCAAAGAAAGCTTCTTGTGCCAGCCCTTTGGTAAAGAATGTGAGAAACACACACAATTTATGAAAAAGTTTGTAGAAAAATACAAAGGTGGTGGTGGTAGAGTGGAAGCAGTTGTGATAGTGGTTGATGGTGGTAGTGATGGTGGTAGAAGGTAGTAGTGATGGTGGTAACAGTTGTAATAGTGGTAGAGGGTTCCTTCTTTAGTGATTCAGCGATTCTACCAACTCCTCCAATGCTGTTGGAGTTATATAGGGCTACAGAAAACACCACCGCCTCAGCTGCTGCTTCACCGCCATTATGGACGGCTTACTCTCAGTGGCCCTTATATACCCAACAACAACACAACACAACACCTCTCGTGACATACGTAATGACTTATTTTATTCATTCTAGAGTATATTCCATGTTTCTATGTTATTAATATTGTTTATTATGTCATATTAGTTGAATTGTGATAGATAAATAAGCCGTAGAGTTGATATTAGTGTCATATTCTTCAACAATAAACTTACCATCCCTCTCTCACACAAACAAGTCTCTAATAAGAACATAAGAAAGGAGGAACACTGCAGTAGGCCTGCTGGCCCATACTAGGCCGGTCCTTCACAAATCCAACCCACAAACAGAACAAATGCTACCCAAGCAATAAGCTCAGGTGCAAGTCCGACTCAAATCCAACCCCTCTCAACTTGTGTATTTATCCAACCTAAATTTGAAACTACTCAAGCCATAGCTTTTAGAACATGAGAAAGGAGGAACACTGCAATAAGCAGTTGGCCCATACTAGGCCGGTCCTTCACAAATCCAACCCACTAACAGAACAAATGCTACCCAAGCAATAAGCTCAGATGCAAGTCCGACTCAAATCCAACCCCTCTCACTCATGTATTTATCCAACCTAAATTTAAAACTACCCAATGTTTTAGCTTGGATCACCCTACTAGGCAGACCGTTCCATTCATCAACTACCCCTATTACAAATGTTCATTTATACATTTTATTAGTGCTTTACATTTATTTGGCATTTTTTTCTGCATGTAAATCTATATTTATGTTAGGGAAGTGACCCCTGAAGTGACCTAGAGTCCTTATGGAGGGGGATTCCCCTTCCAAACAATAACCTCTCTCCCCTTTCTCCTCCTCCCTGTCTTCTATTCATCAACAACAGCCTTCAACAAAGGTAACTGTCATGTTGAATGTTCATTCTTTTGTGCATGTAAATCTATCTTTTAGGTAAAAAAAAATTGTTGTTGATACTTCTGGGTGTCTGGAACGAATTAATTGGATTTACATTATTTCTTATAGGGAAAATTGATTCGAAAATCGTCTATTTCGATAATAGTCCCACTTCCAGGAATGGATTAAGGACGATAATTGAGGGACCACTGTACATCAAACACGGTACCTTTTAAGATGTATATATACGACCGAAACAGTCAAAGGGTTAATTGGGCTGAAACTTGGTGCCAACTGATAGACCAGAAGACGTATTGAAATGGAGAAGATTATGGCCCATTTCAGACCAAAAGTGGCCATATTCTCTACTATTTTAAAGATAAAATTAGTTTTTTCATGAAAAATTGCAACACTTACAAGACTTGATTTTGAGGGTTGTGACAAAGGGTTAAGATGAGTAAAACTTTTGGAAATGCTGTCTTAGAAAGGCAGACAAAAGAAATAGGGGCCACAAGAATTAATCTGGGATGAGATGTGATACCACCAGTGTCATAAGCCTTCTCAAGATTGAAAAGCAAGCTGAACCAAGTGACTATTAGTGATAGTACTGTGAATATGTTGGGAGAGGAGGTCAGGCTATTAAGTCACAAGTAAACCATAAAAAAAAATCCCTTTAAAAACAAATGAATTGCATGGCATTGAAAATTTGCTGATTTTCAATAAAACAAAAAGTCTAATTCCATGTGCATACTTACAAAAAAAAAATTAGAGTTTCTGTATTAGTACAGTATACATTTTTATGATTATTCTTACCTAGATGATGGCTGTGTTCGTGTGCAACAGTACGTTGCACTTGGTGACTGACGAGATGGCAAAGAAATGCTGCAGGTCATGAGGGTAGATGTTGAAGTGGCTGCATTGGATGCAACACACACATCATCTCGAGATGTGGATGAAATTGTTTCATCGGAATCTACAGGTGGCAGTACCCTTGGGGTGTCGAGACTTTCTCCTGTATGACCCCCTACAGCCTAGGTCCAGGAAAATTCAATTTTCATTCATAAAAGAGGAGTACGTACAGTATCATAATTTCAAACCTAATCTCCATTAAGATTATTATGAATTTTAAATTTACATCAGTGTTGTTAGTTGGGCATTAGTTTTAATATCAGTTCTACTTCAAATATATATACTGAAACACATACACAAATAACCCGCACACAGAAGAGAGGAGCTTACGACGATGTTTCGTAAGCTCCTCTCTTCTATGTGCGGGTTATTTGTGTATCGTTCCAGTCACTGTATTGTGCCTTTTTTTGTTATTGTTATATATACTGAACTACAATAATTATTATTATTGCTATTACTATTCTGAATATAAGCAAACCTTTCTAATACACTGTGCTTGCTTTACGGTGCTTTGCTAATATGGCACTTTTCAATTACTCTTTTTTTATATTAACATACTGGCCATTTCACACCGAGGCAGGGTGACCCGAAAAAGAAGAAACACTTTCATTACCACTCATTCCACCACTGTCTTGCCAGAGGTGTGTATACACTACAGTTTAAAAAAACTGCAACATATCTATGTTCCTCCTTCAGAGCACAGGCACTGTACTTACCACCTCCAGGACTCAAGTCCAGCTAACCGGTTTTCCTGAATCCCTTCATAAATGTTACACTGCTCACTCTCTAACAGCATGTCAAATCATAAAAACCATTTGCCTCCACTCGCTCCTATCTAACATGGTCACACGTGCTTACTGGAAGTCTAAGCCCCCCCTCATTCACAAAAACCTCCTTTATCTCCTCCCTCCAAATTTTCCTAGGATGACCCCCTACCCTGCCTTCCTTCCACTACAGATTTATCCACCCTCCAAGTCATCTTATTTTGTTCCATCCTCTATAAATGTCCAAGCCACCTCAACAATCCCTCCTCAGCCCTCTGGATACTACTTTTAGAAACCCTGCACCTCCTTCTATTCTCCAAACTACAGATTCTCTGCATAATATTCACACCACACATTGACCACAGACATGACATCACCACTGCCTCCAGCCTTCTCCTTGTTGCAACATTCACCACCCATGCTTCACACCCATATAAGAGCAGTGGTACTACTAAGCTCTCGTACATTTCCCTCTTTGCTTCCTTGGATAATGTGCTTTGTCTGCACAGATTCCTCAGTGCACCACTCACATTTTACCACTTATCAATTCTATGGCTCACCTTATCTTTCATAGACCCATCTGCTGACAAGCTCAATCCTAAATATCTGAATACATTCACTTCTTCCATACTCCCTCCCTTCAATTTAATATCCAATCTTTCACTACCTAAATTTTTATCCTTGCTCTTTCCTTTGTTCAGTTTTAATTTCCTTCTTTTACATACCCTCCCAAATTTGTCTACCAACCTCTACAACTTCTCTTTAGAATCTCCCAAAAGCACAGTGCCATCAACAAAAAACAACTAACAACTCCCACTCTGTATTAGATTCTTTATCTTTTAATCCAACACCTCCTCCCAACACCTGAACATTCACTTCTCTTACAACCCCCATCTATAAATATACGAAAAACCCAGGGTGACTTTACACATCCCTGTCTAAGCCATTTTTACGGGAAAAAAATCTCTCTCTCTCCTACATACTCTAACTGAGCTTCTATCCCAAAAAAATTTTTAACTGTTTCAGAAACCTATCATCTTTTTCCATAACTTGCAACACGCCACACTTTCCCCCTATCTACCTACATATGCATTTTTTAAAAATTCACAGATGCAACAAAAGCCTCTTTACCCTTATCTAAATACTGCCATTTATTTTCACTGTATACATTTGGGTCTAAAAACACCCCTTCCCCTTTCTAAACCCTCCTTTTTCATTGCCCCTTATATTCCTATTCATTACTCTGGGATTCACCGACACCAAGCGAATCAAGGGGTTGAAGACTCAGATGATGAAGCAAATATGAAACTTCCTATCCCTTCTCCCCTTCCTTAATTTACTTCTAAAATGTTCTTTCCTTAAAAATATATATAAACATATTTTAAGCTTTTATATGCATGGTAAGGAAAAAGAAACCTGCTGTATTAGAAAGGGATGTCTGAATGTATTTTTTTACTGCGTAATACTTATCATTTCACACGAGATCTATGTTTTTGAAAAACAGTGATTTAAAAAAAATGTGTTTTAAAAAATTTCAAAATTATAACTCGGGGAAAAATCCCCTGACCTCTGAAAGAGTGCTCCTTTCTGCATGCTAAACATAACAAAAATTATACATTTGCTATTTTTGTTAGGTTATCCAACATTAAATAAATTTTCACATAATTAACCACGATAATGAAAAGCAAAAACAAGTGGTTTACATCTAGCAGCACGACCATGTTGCTTTTAAAGCATTGGAACCCCTACTCTCTAAATTTGGGGGATAAGTTGGAAAAAAAACTTTGAGAAAAATTTTGTGGGGATTTATTTCCCGGAGAGTTGTAACCTGGAATAATCCAAGGGAAACCATGTCTTCAACTGGTTTTTTCCCCTTGGGGCCTCTCCAATTTGCCCAAAAGCTCGCAACAAAAAAGGCTTTTGGCAGTCACCCAACTATTTTTTCCCTGACAACCACAATTTGTCAAAATAAACATTTTATCTTTATCTTTGTTAGGCAACTGGTGGTGCATACCTGCTCCCAAACACCCAAGTACCTACTTACTTCTAGGTATACAGGGGCAGCAGGTGTAAGGCAACATGCCTGTTTCCACTCACCTAGGTAATGAACCCCAATTCCTCAATTTGTGACCTGAGGTCACTCCAAACACTTTAAAGTTAAAGTTTAGCAGGATGGGTTAGGGTAAGGTAGATTTAGCCCCATAAAAAAAATTTACTAGTGTACAACTTACCTACCATCTTGCAGCCAAGTAAAGTTAACAAATGCGGCCATGTTGCTGCCTGAACAATCAGCTACCTGGGGAATGCTGGGACTCTCAATACATGTGAGCACCTCATTGCTCTATGCTCATAAGACATCACCAACCCAGTTATGGAGTGGGACAATTAACTCCCAAAATATACTGTCAACTTTTTCTTCGGCTTTCTAGTATCACTAATGATCCACTTGGGTGTCAATGTTAAATGTGTAATGGTAAGGAAGTCATATAGAAAAATAAAAAAATGCGTAAGAAATCTGTTAATATAGAAGAAAAGTGCCAAAAGTCTAGCTCCTATGGCTATGTCAACCTAGGCATCAGCTCACTGGAAGATACAGGCCAACAACAGATGTTGATTGTAATAATGTTGGTAGAATTATCGACAATATGTAAAGTAAAAGGACACAAGTGCAACTAATGTGACATTTTATTGTGGCAACGTTTTGCTCTCCAGCTTTATCAAGCCGTTACAGCTTTATCAAGTGTAACGGCTTGATAAAGCTCCTGGAGAGCAAAACGTTGCCACAATAAAATGTCACATTAGTTGCACTTGTGTCCTTTTACTTTACAAACAGATGTTGATGATACAATGTTCAAAATATTCTACACTTTTTTTTTTCAACACACCAGCTGTCTCTCACAAAAGCAGGGTGACCCAAAAACCAAGAAACACTTTCACCATCATTCACACATAATCACTGTCTTTGCAGAGGTACCCAGATATGACAGTTTAGATGTTACTCCAAACAGCCAATATCCCAAACCCCACCTCCAGGACTCGAGTCCAGCTAACCGGACATAGTATCATTAAATGCATTTGTAAATGTACTGCATGACTTCAAAAAATTAATGGCACACTGTATTCTGTAGGTCATAAAACTTTTCTTTTGTAACATGCTGGCCATCTCTCACCAAGGCTGGGTGACAACATATGTAAAGTATACAATTATAAAATCTCTGAAACAGATTAACCAATGTCATTCTGACATCCATACCACCTTGTTAGACCTCTAAATAACATGTACACACCTTTGACAACAATGTCATTGAGCTCAGCTTTGACTGCTAACCTGTTGATGGTGTCAGTGTATCTGTATGCCAGAGACAGTGGCAATCATCCATTTTTCAGATACTGTACAATAACATCAACTTCACTCTATGACAATATTGATGCAAATGTTTAAAGGAGGGATTTGGGATATTTGCTGTTTGAAGTGACATCTGAACTGTCATATCTGCATACCTTTGCAAAGACAGTGATTATGTATGAATGATGGTGAAAATGGTGAATGATGGTAAAAGCACTTCTTTCTTTTTAGGGTCACCCTGTCTCAGTGGGAGACGGCCAGCATGTTAAAAAAAAAAAAATGGCTTTTTAGGGTATATACCATTTGACAGAGTGGAAGATCTACTACTAAAATAGAAATGATTTTGGTTGGCTTCAGAACTGTAAGTAGTTAGAAACTGGGCTCAAATAAGTGAAAATATCCGATTTTTGCCAATTTTCCTGCGGATGGGTAAGGACCCCTACACCCACCTCTCCTGTCTGTTTCTCTCTCTCTCTTTTTTTTTTTTTTTTTTTTTTTTGGGGGGGGGGGGGGGGATTAATATGTCTGATTCAATTATTCAGACACTGCAAACCATGACCAATCATTCTTGGCTATATTTTAATATCCGAGAAATAGAGTAAATCTTCAATTTTGTGATTTTGAATTCAAAATGAAATACAAATATAAGGAGAGGCCTGGGGACATGATTAATGAACAGAGGAAATGTTTTAGTGCCTGGAATGTCCACATTGTTAATTTTGGACTCCCTTTCTAAATTGGTACTTAATGAATGTATAAAATTTAACAAATACCAACTTCTGTGAGCTTTACAGGATAGTTGTAATAGTTGAATGGGCAGTTTCCTGTGCTCAGTCGATATACTGGAAGGCATAGTGATGAAAAAGCTAAGAATTTGGTTTGGTGGAGCAATGGAATTGGCTTAAAATAGGACTCAAAGTGGGCAAAATTGCCAGTGTGTAAATGTGAAAAATTGAAGTCCATATTTTCATTAAAGCAACAGGAGAAAAAGAATTATTTCAAAAATCAAAAGAGAAATTTGTTACCTCACTGATTGAGTGATGTGATCTAAGAAGTGATGCTCTTCTAAACTGTTCATCAAATGGATTTAGACTTATTTCCTGGAAAAGTCCCACTTCTTCACACTGCCTTAAGAATCTTGTTGGAGTAGGTGTCTGGTCTATAAAACAAGAGAAGCAGTTAGAAAAACATATACAAATTATATGTATTGTTTGTACAGGAAACCCTCCGGAGAATAAGCACCAAAAAGTAAACTATAAGGATGAGGTAGAGATTATTCATCAGTACTTACTGTATTTCACAAAAATTTACAAAGCTTCAGCTTTCAATTGTTTTTGTATAATGTATTCACAATCTTTATAGATGGGGTTGTAAAAGAAGTAAATGCTAAAGTGTTGGGGAGAAGTGTGGGATTAAAAGTTAAAGAATCTACTACAAAGTGGGAGATGTCACAGTTGCTTTTTGCTGATGACACCGTGCTTTTGGAAGATTCTGAAGGGAAGTTGCAGAGGTTGGTGGGCAAATTTGGGAGGGTATGTAAAAAATTCAAGAATTCATAGTGTGGAAATTAGGAGGAGGTGTGGAGTTACTAAAAGTATTAGTCAAAGGGCTGAAGAAGAGCTACTGAAGTGGTTTGGTCATTTACAGAAAATGGAACAAAGTAGAATGGCTTGGAGAGCATATAAATCTGTTGGGGAAGGGGGGCGGGGTAGGGGTCATCTCCAAAAAGGTTGGAGGAGGTTTTGTGGGCAAGGGGTTTGGACTTCCAGCAAACATGCATGAGCGTGTTTGATAGGAGTAAATGGAGACGAATGGTTTTTAGAACCTGACAAGCTGTTGGAGTGTGAGCAGGGGAATATTTTGTGAAGGGATTCAGGGAAACCGGTTAGCCGGATCTGAGTCCTGGAAATGGGAAGTACAGCCTCTCCTCACTTAGTGACATACTTGTTTACCAACAACTCGGACTTACGATGGGCTCTCTGACCAGTATGCATACCTAAATAATGTATATTATTTAGGTATGCATACTGTTCATGCCACATCTTTAGAATACTACACTGTAATTTTTATGCTGACCTAAGACAATTCATGGAAAAACTGCAAGAATACAGAGGCCTGGTCTGGGAACAGGTCAGAGGGGCGGTGACCCCCGAAGCCATGATAAAGTAATCAGGCATCACACAAGAAATAAATACTTTAAGTATCTTTCTGATATCCCTCATCTTTAATTACACCATGTATCCCTTGTCATTCTTTAATCCTGCCTCAAATTTCAAATTTATTGATTATTTTTAAAATCTATTACTGCTTTTTATTCTACTGTATAATGATTTTTATCCTATCCATTTAGCTTTTAATTTTTGTGAATTAGACATAAGTGCAATATGTAGGTACCTCCATTTTGAAGACAAGCTTCCAACTAGTGGCTTTCTCAATTCAAATCAGAGCTTATTAACTAGAGACAGTAGTCGATGACATACTTAGTCCCTTGAACCAGGTGTTCACTGCCTTAGTCTTGATGATGATGAAGCATAAGCAAAAAGATGAACACTTATATACTGGCCCAAGTCTTGGGAATGACCTACAGTCACTAGTGGGTCCTGCCCACTGGTGACAATGACTTTGCTGTGCCTCCTCTCACTCCAGCATGCATACAAGTGTTCATCTTCCTGCCTATGCTTCACATTCATCAAGACTTAAGATGGTGAATACATGGGCTGAGGGACTGATTATCTCATCTTCTACTGTCTCCAGTTTCAAAACCTTCAAAGGCTGAGGAAGTGCTTACCCCATCTTCTACTGTTTCCAGTTATAAGATACCCAGATGTTGTACACGTGTCTAATTCACCTACTTGTCAGTACTAGATACTATTAATTTTTTTTTTTTTAACAAACCAGCCGTATCCCACCAAGGTAGGGTGGCCCAAAAAGAAAAACGAAAGTTTCTCTTTTTAAATTTAGTAATTTATATGGGAGAAGGGGTTACTAGCCCCTTGCTCCCGGCATTTTAGTCGCCTCTTACAACACGCATGGCTTACGGAGGAAGAATTCTGTTCCACTTCCCCATGGAGGTAAGAGGAAATAAACAAGAACAAGAACTAGAAAGAAAACAGAAGAAAACCCAGAAAGATGTGTATATATACATATATATGCTTGTACATGTATGTGTAGTGTGACCTAAGTGTAAGTAGAACTAGCAAGACGTACCTGAAATCTTGCATGTTTCTTCTTCTTTCTTTCAACAAACCGGCCGTATCCCACCGAGGCAGGGTGGCCCAAAAAGAAAAACAAAAGTTTCTCTTTTTTAAATTTAGTAATTTATACAGGAGAAGGGGTTACTAGCCCCTTGCTCCCGGCATTTTAGTCGCCTCGTACAACACGCATGGCTTACAGAGGAAGAATTCTGTTCCACTTCACCATGGAGGTAAGAGGAAATAAACAAGAACTAGAAAGAAAATAGCAGAAAACCCAGAGGTGTGTGTGTGTGTATATATATGCTTGTACATATATGTGTAGTGTGACCTAAGTGTAAGTAGAAGTAGCAAGACGTACCTGAAATCTTGCATGTTTATGAGACAGAAAAAAGGACACCAGCAATCCTACCATCATGTAAAACAATTACAGGCTTTCGTTTTACACTCGCTTGGCAGGACGGTAGTACCTCCCTGGGCGGTTGCTGTCTACCAACCTACTACCTAGAAGATACCATTAATATTATGACATTAATTTTTATTCATGCATAATTAAATAACATTAGAAACCAACTCTTTTCACCTGTGAGCTGTGACCAGATCTTATCTGTCAATATCTTACCCTAAACTCACAAGTTTAAACAGCTCCACAAACATGTATATTATTCAGTAATTTTGATCCTAGTATAAGGTGTCTGAAATTTTTTGCATCTGGACTTCTCGCAAAATCTGTTCTAGTTTTCACTTTGTATGATAATAAAAAATTATTACAGGCATTCCTCACTTAACGATTAAGTTCCGTTCCTGTGACTAGGGCATTAAGCGAACTGGTCGATAAGCAAGAAGCATACTGTACTGGAAGTGGGCCTGTGTCAACCATCTTTACATATTGCTGTAATGTCACCCTTGCACCATTTATATCATTTTTAGTACATTTTTAAATGTTTGTACTGTAGTGTACTGTATACTGTAATAAACATAATTGAGGAAATTAGCTCTAATATACATTACTTAGGTTTGCATACTAGTTGCAGAGCTGGTCATAAGTCCGAGCAGTCATTAAACAGGTAGGTCATTAAGTGAGGAGTGCTTGTATTATGCATTTTGTGTTCAAGATCATATATCTACAGTATATCACTCTAATATAGTTAATGTTAACATTCATGAGATATAATGATCAGAATAAAATGAGATTTGGACATGGGAATGCCACTGAGCCAGACAAAATTGGATTATCAAATCTAATCACTGACTGCCCATCACTTAAAATGTTAGGCAATCAAAATTAATAAATGCAGAATCTCAATATGCAAATAAATATTAGAATTATTGTTATAATGTTTAGAAACACACAAATTATCATGAATTTTAATCAAAGTTGCTCTTAAAACTGCATTTTAAAGGGAAAGTTGAGCAAAATATTGCTCTATTATACAAATTGAAAATCTTTGATGTTTGATAACACTTTTGTGTTTCACTAATTTAATATAACATTGTAATGCAATGTAATGTATATACAGTGGAACCTCAAATATCGAACTTTCTTCGGTCCAGAAGGCTGTTCGAGTGCCTTTACCGAATGAATTTATTCCCATCAGGAATAATGTAAATTAGATTAGTCCATTTCAGACCCTCAAAAATACACTTACAAAAGCACTTACAAAAATACACTTACATAATTGGTCGTGTTGGGAGCAGTTCGATTTTTGAGGTTCCACTGTACACACAGTCAACCCCCTTTGATCTGAACCTAGTGGAATGGGAGGCTTATAGAATAAGTGACAAATATAAATACAAGCAAACCTCGATTTAAGTAGCCTTTTTCTATGTTATCTCTGAGCATCAGACTAAGTATTATTCCCCACCTCTATGTGCATAAAAATTCTTAACCTCATTGTTTATCACCTCAAAAATTAAAAAAAAATAAAATTCCATTTTTCTTCTTAAGCCATAACATACTTCAGTCTGACCTGTGTATGAAGAGTGTTACATGTACTGAACACTGTTATATAGTGTCACAGTAGTTATGGCACTTTTTATGTACATATTGGACAACATTTCTCTGTTCAAGCAAAAGTACTTATCTGTCAGAAACCAAAAATTATTTTAACATACCATTTTTTATTCAGCCATCCCATGGAATTAAATGATGCATGCCTGTACTCTTGTTTTTAAGGCTCTCCTTCCTTGAAAAATGGAGCAGAAAAAATGCTGGGAGCAGGGGAGAACAAGAGGCCACAATTGCAAAATGAGACAAAAAAAATTTTTAAAAAGTGCCAAAAGGATGCTAGAATGTTTATCTTCACCAAACGGGGATGAATACTACACTAGGGTCCAAAAGAACATAAGGAGGTAGCAAGTGCTATAACCACTGACAACAAATTAAACACAAAACATGACACCAGAAGAAAAAAGAATAAGAAAAAAAAAAAAACTTTGTAACCCAATATGGGTAACACTACTGGGGATATCTAACAGCATCAAGAAACAGATGAAAAATATGACCTTACCAATAATAAATCCATGATGCTTGACTAGAGATGGAGTGTGATGTTCTCCATTGACTGTGAGCTGCATTTCGTGGCGTCGACGATGTACCATTAAGTGATCCTCATTAGTAAAGCTCTGTGGAAAGTATTATTAGCAGAATTATATTCTGGTTCACTTCTACAATAACTACACTACTGCTGAATTGCTGAGACCTTTAATGAATAAATAATGACAACATTTGTTCTAATATAGAAGAGCATACTGCAAATAAGTAGTGAAAGAACTGATGAATGTGATTCTTTTTTGGGGTCACCCTACCTTGGCAGAATACAGTCAGAGCAATAAAATAACTTTATTATTATTATTATTATTATTATTATTATTTTCTTTTTTATTATCACACTGGCCGATTCCCACCAAGGCAGGGTGGCCCGAAAAAGAAAAACTTTCACCATCATTCACTCCATCACTGTCTTGCCAGAAGGGTGCTTTACACTACAGTTTTTAAACTGCAACATTAACACCCCTCCTTCAGAGTGCAGGCACTGTACTTCCCATCTTCAAGACTCAAGTCCGGCCTGCCGGTTTCCCTGAACCCCTTCATAAATGTTACTTTGCTCACACTCCAACAGCACGTCAAGTATTAAAAAACCATTTGTCTCCACTCACTCCTATCAAACACGCTCACGCATGCGCTGGAAGTCCAAGCCCCTCGCACACAAAACCTCCTTTACCCCCTCTCTCCAACCTTTCCTAGGCCGACCCCTACCCCCGCCTTCCTTCCACTACAGACTAATACACTCTTGAAGTCATTCTGTTTCGCTCCATTCTCTCCACATGTCCGAACCACCTCAACAACCCTTCCTCAGCCTCTGGACAACAGTTTTTGGTAATCCCGCACCTCCTCCTAACTTCCAAACTAACGAATTCCTCTGCATTATATTCACACCACACATTGCTCTCAGACATGACATCTCCACTGCCTCCAGCCTTCTCCTCGCTGCAACATTCATCACCCATGCTTCACACCCATATAAGAGCGTTGGTAAAACTATACTTCTCATACATTCCCCTCTTTGCCTCCAAGACAAAGTTCTTTGTCTCCACAGACTCCTAAGTGCACCACTCACTCTTTTCCCCTCATCAATTCTATGATTCACCTCATCTTTCATAGACCCATCCGCTGACACGTCCACTCCCAAATATCTGAATACATTCACCTCCTCCATACTCTCTCCCTCCAATCTGATATCCAATCTTTCATCACCTAATCTTTTTTGTTATCCTCATAACCTTACTCTTTCCTGAATTTAAAATTTAATTTTTATTTTTTATTAAAAAAAAAATTTTTTTTTATTACAATATTCCAAAAGCGGGTGGAAAAAAAAATTTCCCATTTTTACCCATTGCTTCCCAAAATGTTACCTAAGTTTTATAAACTGCAAATTAACACTTTCAATGCTCATTTACTTCCATCTCAACTATCGGGTGCGACCTTTAAAATTATACAACATTTGTTCTAATAAAGGCACCTGTATAAAAAAATTGTGAATCATTTCACTTTTGGGCACCTCTGGCAAATCCAAGCATGCAAAAAACTTATTATTTATTATTATATTATTATTATTTATATTATTTTCTTAGGTGTAGGTGTAGACAGCAACCACCCAGGGAAGTACTACCTGTTCCGCCAGATGACTGTGAAACAAAAACCTGTAACTGTTTGCATGATGGTAGGATTGCTGGTTTCTTTTCTTCTCATAAACACCTAAGATAACAGGGATATCTGTGCTACTCCTACTTACACTTTGGTCAACACTTCACAGACACGCACATGCATATATATTAACATACATCTAGGTTTTTCTCCTTTTTCTAAATAGCTCTTGTTCTTTATTATTTCTTCTTATGTCCATGGGGAAGTGGAAAAGAATCTTTCCTCCGTAAGCCATGCCGTGTCGTATGAGGCGACTAAAATGCCGGGAGCAATGGGCTAGTGACCCCTTCTCCTGTATACAATTACTAAAAAAGAGAAAAGAAAAACTTTATAAAACTGGGTTGCCTTAAATGTGCGTGGATGTAGTGCGGATGACAAGAAACAGATGATGCTGTTTATGAATGAAAAGAAGTTGATGTCCTGGCCCTAAGCGAAACAAAGCTGAAGGGGTAGGAGAGTTTCAGTGGGGGGAAATAAATGGATTAAATCTGGAGTATCTGAGAGAGTTAGAGCAAAGGAAGGGGTAGCAGTAATGTTAAATGATCAGTTTATGGAAGGAGAAAAGAGAATATGAATGTGTAAATTCAAGAATTATGTGGATTAAAGTAAAGGTTGGATGCGAGAAGTGTGGTCATAATAAGCGTGTATGCACCTGGAGAAGAGAGGAATGCAGAGGAGAGAGAGAGATTTTGGGAGATTTTTAAGTGAATGTATAGGAGCCTTTGAACCAAGTGAGAAGTAATTGTGGTAGGGGACTTGAATGCTAAAGTAGGAGAAACTTTTAGAGAGGGTGTGGTAGGTAAGTTTGGGGTGCCAGGTGTAAATGATAATGGGAGCCCTTTGATTGAACTTTGTATAGAAAGGGGTTTAGTTATAGGTAATACATATTTTAAGAAAAAGAGGATAAATAAGTATACACGATATGATGTAGGGCGAAATGACAGTAGTTTGTTGGATTATGTATTGGTAGATAAAAGACTGTTGAGTAGACTTCAGGATGTACATGTTTATAGAGGGCCACAGATATATCAGATCACTTTCTAGTTGTAGCTACACTGAGAGTAAAAGGTAGATGGGATACAAGGAGAATAGAAGCATCAGGGAAGAGAGAGGTGAAGGTTTAATAAACTAAAAGAGGAGGCAGTTAGGGTAAGATATAAACAGCTATTGGAGGATAGATGGGCTAATGAGAGCAATAGGCAATGGGGTCGAAGAGGTATGGGGTAGGTTTAAAAATGTAGTGTTAGAGTGTTCAGCAGAAGTTTGTGGTTACAGGAAAGTGGGTGCAGGAGGGAAGAGGAGCGATTGGTGGAATGATGATGTAAAGAGAGTAGTAAGGGAGAAAAAGTTAGCATATGAGAAGTTTTTACAAAGTAGAAGTGATGCAAGGAGGAAGAGTATATGGAGAAAAAGAGAGAAGTTAAGAGAGTGGTGAAGCAATGTAAAAAGAGAGCAAATGAGAGAGTGGGTGAGATGTTATCAACAAATTTTGTTGAAAATAAGAAAAAGTTTTTTGGAGTGAGATTAACAAGTTAAGAAAGCCTAGAGAACAAATGGATTTGTCAGTTAAAAATAGGAGAGGAGAGTTATTAAATGGAGAGGTAGAGTATTGGGAAGATGGAAGGAATATTTTGAGGAATTGTTAAATGTTGATGAAGATAGGGAAGCTGTGATTTCGGTATAGGGCAAGGAGGAATAACATCTTGTAGGAGTGAGGAAGAGCCAGTTGTGAGTGTGGGGGAAGTTCGTGAGGCAGTAGGTAAAATGAAAGGGGGTAAGGCAGCCGGGATTGATGGGATAAAGATAGAAATGTTAAAAGCAGGTGGGGATATAGTTTTGGAGTGGTTGTTGCTATTATTTAATAAATGTATGGAAGAGGGTAAGGTACCTAGGGATTGGCAGAGAGCATGCATAGTTCCTTTGTATAAAGGCAAAGGGGACAAAAGAGAGTGCAAAAATTATAGGGGGATAAGTCAGTTGAGTATAGCTGGTAAAGTGTATGGTAGACTTATTATTGAAAGAATTAAGTGTAAGACAGAAAATAGGATAGCAGATGAACAAGGAGGCTTTACAAAAGGTAGGGGGTGTGTGGACCAGGTATTTACAGTGAAACATATAAGTGAACAGTATTTAGATAAGACTAAAGAGGTCTTTGTGGCATTTATGGATTTGGAAAAGGCGTATGACAGGGTGGATAAGGGTGCAATGTGGCAGATGTTGCAGGTGTATCGTGTAGGAGGTAGGTTACTGAAAGCAATGAAGAGTTTTTACGAGGATAGTGAGGCTCAAGTTAGAGAATGTAGGAAAGAGGGAAATTATTTCCCAGTAAAAGTAGGCCTTAGACAAGGATGTGTGATGTCACCGTGGTTGTTTAATATATTTATAGATGGGGTTGTAAGAGAAGTAAATGCGAGGGTCTTGGCAAGAGGCATGGAGTTAAAAGATAAAGAATCACACACAAAGTGGGAGTTGTCACAGCTGCTCTTTGCTGATGACACTGTGCTCTTGGGAGATTCTGAAGAGAAGCTGCAGAGATTGGTGGATGAATTTGGTAGGGTGTGCAAAAGAAGAAAATTAAAGGTGAATACAGGAAAGAGTAAGGTTATGAGGATAACAAAAAGATTAGGTGATGAAAGATTGAATATCAGAATGGAGGGAGAGAGTATGGAGGAGGTGAACGTATTCAGATATTTGGGAGTGGACGTGGGTGTGAAGCGTGGGTGATGAATGTTGCAGCGACGAGAAGGCTGGAGGCAGTGGAGATGTCATGTCTGAGGGCAATGTGTGGTGTGAATATAATGCAGAGAATTCGTAGTTTGGAAGTTAGGAGGAGGTTGGGATTACAAAACTGTTGTCCAGAGGGCTGAGGAAGGGTTGTTGAGGTGGTTCGGACATGTAGAGAGAATGGAGCGAAACAGAATGACTTCAAGAGTGTATCAGTCTGTAGTGGAAGGAAGGCGAGGTAGGGGTCGGCCTAGGAAGGGTTGGAGGGAGGGGGTAAAGGAGGTTTTGTGTGCGAGGGGCTTGGACTTCCAGCAGGCATGCGTGAGCGTGTTTGATAGGAGTGAATGGAGACAAATGGTTTTTAATACTTGACGTGCTGTTGGAGTGTGAGCAAAGTAACATTTATGAAGGGATTCAGGGAAACCGGCAGGCCGGACTTGAGTCCTGGAGATGGGAAGTACAGTGCCTGCACTCTGAAGGAGGGGTGTTAATGTTGCAGTTTAAAAACTGTAGTGTAAAGCACCCTTCTGGCAAGACAGTGATGGAGTGAATGATGGTGAAAATTTTTCTTTTTCGGGCCACCCTGCCTTGGTGGGAATCGACCAGTGTGATAATAAAAAAAAAAAAAAAATTTTTTTTTGCTCATAACTCAGATTCTGGCTCACAACTCAAAGCAAATAATCGACCGAGTGACGGCTCGTAACTCGGAAAACTTGTAAGTTGGGGCACTCGTAAGTCAAGGTACCACTGCACCTATCTGTAATGTTCATATATCCTCATATATTTAAGTAAAAGCAACAGGAACCTATCTCATCTTATACATACCATGCCACAGCCAGGCTGGGGACATCCAAATGGTTTATCAACCTCTCCCATGACTAAAACTGGACTACAGCCTCATTAAGGCTACCTTCCAAAATGAAGTACTGGATAACAATGTGCAGGACTTGAACCACTAATGTTGGGAGCCTGCATGGCCCAACTGGATCTTAACACATTGTTAATATCCTGCTGCCTTCGTGCATATTAGGGTTCTGAAAAGAAGATAATCAGAAAATTAATTCACAGCAATTTTGTTTTGGATGTACACCATTCTAATAAGTACTGTATATTACTAGTCATGAGTGGTATTTTTTCTAAATAAATGTGTCTATAGTTATGCCCCATGTCTTATGAGTGCATACTAGCCCAAAAAAATTGCATAAAAATAATGAGAGAGAGAGGGAGGTAAGAGCACAAGAATGAAGAAGCACTGCAGTATACCTGATGGCTCATGCTAGGCAGTCCTGAAATTCCACACTTCTCGCTGCAGTAGGCCTACTGGCCCATGTTAAGCAGGTCCTACTCACACCCAACCATTATACAGCTATCCCATATCCTTTCTAAACCTAAATTTTTCCAACTTGAACTCGGTCAGATATTTGTAGCATGTTATTTATATCATATTTATTTTTGGCTCTGTATAATCATATGGACTTCTTGTTCCCCTCCTAAGTTTAACAATATTGTACCTTAGTGCAATAAATATACGAGGGGAAAAGGGTTGGATAAGAGAAGAATCTGCCTAGCATGGGCCAGTAGGCTTGTTGCTGAGCTTACAGGGTATGAAAATACTGCATATATTGACTACTAATGCAGAAAAAAACAATTTAATTCAGTTTGTGAGACCTGAAAATATAACCCCTGCATCTTATGGCAAGGGTTAAGCAAAAATCTAATTATTTCAGATAAAGTACACCCCCACATCCTATGGCATTATGTGACTCATGGCCAGTAATATATATATGAGAAATGGACAACGGTAAAGAAGAAGAAAATGCCATGTTTAAAGTAATTACCTAGTAGCTACTACCTAAGGCAAGTGTAGCATACAAATCAAATGTAAGGCATAAATCACATGAATTTTTAAATTTCTAAATACACACACACACACATAAAATTTAAGTTAGGTTGGTTACATTATCATTAATTTATGATAAGCATTTTGGGAAGAAAGAAGGGCAGTCAACATGCTGAAAATAACACTAATGATGCTATAATACCAATTGAGCTTACGTCCAGATGCAAGGCTCATATGCTGTTATGTACTTATTAACTCATATGTAGGTTGAAATTATTACAGTACTTAAGAAGAAAAAGTAAAAATTTAATTTAGTTGAATCTGAGGACAGAGTGCAGAGCAAAGTCTTATGGATACAGAAGGATAGCCACAGGAGGGAACAGGGATAATTAATGGAACAATGAAGTGAAAATAGTGGCAAGGAAAAAAAAAAGTTGGCATGTGAAAGTTTTTTATAATGAAAATAAACTGAGGAAATGGTCAGGGTTCAAGCCCATAGCAAACTAGTGCTGAAATTAGCAGGATAGTGCTCTCACCACTGACCTGCTACTTTTAGGACTGACCTGCCATGGGTTCAAACCCTGCCCATTCCCAAAACTGTTTACAATCATGTTATTATGATTTTTGCATCAGTGAAAATGACCTGAAAAAGTGAGAGTATAATGAGAAGCGATTTAAAATGCAGGGGGAGCGAAAAAAAAAAAAAGGAAATTTAAATGAAAATTTTGCAGAAAATAAGGTTTTAGAAATAAATAAATAATGAGAGAATACTTAGAATTAAGTGTAACTGGTAAGATGCTGACTGGGGATAATTTTATAAGCTATTGTTCAATGTACCTGTAGGTGATAAAATATAGACAAAAATTCTATGACTGGGGCAGGAAGAAATGATATAGTATATTGGGAGAGACATGCCAGAAGTAATGGCAAAAATGACTGAAGCAAAGGAAGAAAGAAGAATAATTAAGACAGGAAAGAAGAAATGAGAGCAACAGAAATTAATGATGGTTTTATTCAGATCATTAATCCAGAAGGTTTAGTATCCCAGGATAACCCAATGAAGTCAGGTTGTTCAGGACTGCCTGTCTAAATTCCCCTAGTTTACAACCCACATCAGTTGACTAACATTCAGGTAGGTGAATAGGGGCAGCAGGTGTAAGGAAATATGCCCAACACTTTTCATCATGCCAGGGATTCAACCCCAGTCCCTCGGTGCGCAAATTGAGGTCACTACCAACCAAGATATGAGATGTCACACACAAATAACCCACTGATACATTATACATGGATAATATATTCCAACAGTTTAGATTAAGCAAGTACCAAAAGACTCGGCAGGAGATGCAACATTCCCCCAATGAAAAGCAGGGGCGCCACGAGTACACTGAGACAACACAATAAGTGTCCGGGGCCCAAGACTGTTCAACTGCCTCCCAACATACATAAGGGGAATAGACCCCTGGCTGTCTTCAAGAAGGCACTGGACAGACACCTAAAGTTAGTACCTGACCAGCCGGGCTGTGATTCGTACATCAGTTTGTGTGTGGCCAGCAGTAACAGCCTGGTTGATCAGACCCTGATCTATCACAAGGCCTGGTCTCAGACCAAGCTGCAGGGGCATTGACCCCTGAAACACACTCCAGTTTTACTCCAGGTATACCATAATTTTTAGCATATAAGGTGCACATTTTTCTCAAGAAATATCTAAGATCACCCTGTACCTTACATGCTGATTAAGTTAATAATAATATTAATAATAATAATATCTTTATTTCTACAAGTATATGCACAAAGTATACAGTCCTAGCTGACATCAATGACATACTACTATATAGAAAGTCACTTGTTATGCAGAGTATTTCGGGCAAATTAGGCAAGTTTTGTCCCAGGATGCGATGTACACCAGTCCACTAACATCCATTTGATGATGAGTGAACAGGAACAGCAGGTGTCTTATGGAAACATATCCTAATGTTTTCCAGCCGTACCGGAGAGTCAAACACTGGACCTCAGTGTGTGAGCTAAGTGCACTAGCAATCAAGCTACGGGACACAGCAAGGGTAGGCTTTAGATTACTGGCAAGTAGTGGTTGCAATGTTGCAGTGCTGTTAAACTAAGCTCCAAACTCACCCCCATCCCCACAAAATTGTCCAGGACTGCTTTAGAGATTAGTAATTTTTATAAATTATAATTTACATATTACCAGCATGTCCAAAGCAAACCAGCTTCAGCAATGGTAAATAAACGTAAAGCAGCCATCTGTAAACAACAGGCAGTAACGTTTGTTTCAGAGGTTGGAGACAAAGTTGGGGTGCACATTATATGTCGGAAAATACACTAAGTTTATTTAGGTACAATTTTACACAATTTTTGGACGATTACAATAATATTACATAGCAACATATATGTCAATGACATAGAATAACCTAAAAGAAAAGTCAAAGTGACTATCAGATACAGTAAAATTCAGTCATAATAATAATAATAATAATAATAAAACAAAATAAATAAATCAAATGCATGACAATGAATAACAATAAGAATAGATTCAATAGGAATAAAATAAAGTGAGTAAATCAATTACATGAGATTAACATAGTATTATGGGAAAATAATGCAAAGTGCATTAAAAACAAATAGAACAATTAAATATATTAACAAGAGTGTTTGCCAATAATATTAAATTTACATATATGTAAGTTTATTTAGGTACAGGTACAAATAAGTACAATTATCATACCTAGGATAACCCAAAAAAGTCAAAGTGACTTATTTCCATTGGGATTCTTCTGTTTTAATTGGGGTCCTTGCATATTTGTATATTTCCATTTGGATCTTTGCTATTTCTAATGGGGTCTTTATTATTTCCATTGGGGTCCTTGTTATATCCACTGGGTCCTTGTTATTTCCATTGGAGTCCTTCAACTGATCCATCAGTTGAAGCGCTAAATCCACTAGGGTCATACAACGCTATCAGTGACTTAAGAACGTCGGCATTCATTATTATTATTGGTGTTTATTACTTTTAGTCCTAAGGAAGAGCTAGTTATAGGGGGCCATGTAGTATCTCAGGAATATGGTAAGATAAGGTTTTATTGGGATTATTAACCAGGCGGGGTGTGATGAAAAGCAGTAGGGGGGGAGGGGACCTGAATGTCGTGGATTAAGAGCTCACTACTAGCATCAAGAATTAAAAACACATTAAGCTTCTACTGAGGAAACTGGAGCGTCACAGCATGTTTATTTAGGTCCAGTTTTACACGGTTTTTAGATTACAATTGCCTTACATAATAACATGTGTATATTGCCTAGAATTACATACAAAGGTCGAAGTGCTTTATTACCATTTAGGTTCTGGAATTATTTCCACTGGGGTCGTTGTTCTACATTATCTGGTCTGCCTTACCATTACTTGTCAACCATTACAATACTACCAACGTTTGCCAGGATGATATTTATTTGATATCAGAGCTAGTTTATACACGAAAGTCATTAATCTGACAAGAAAACATCCTTATAATCTTACCATTGTGAACAATAAAGGCGCTTCATATCACTGCTGTTGTTGTTGGGTTTCTTAGGGTCATTACGGCTTCCCACATTACGCCTTATTTCCCACTGAGCAAGGAGGAAATAGTATCAAAATTATGAGGAAAACAAAAACATTCACACTAATTCTACAATATGATATGTAGACCTGCCCGCTTGAAAGTCTTGGTGAGCTAGACGTCCACCTCATGAGTGAGTCGATGACCGACTTTGCTCTCAAGTCGTACAAAAATCTACGGCGTTGGTCTTCAACCTGTATGACGCATCGCGGCTCTCTTCCAGGCCCTCAACCTCACCACCACAACCAAACCTCGCCACCACCACAACCAAACCTCACCACCACCAAACCTCGCCACCACCAAACCTCGCCACCACCACAACCTAACAAACCTATCCACCACCACTCACAATCAAACCTCACCATCACCACAACCAACCAAACCTCTCACCACCACAACTAAACATCACCACCACAACAACCAAACCTCGCCACCACCACAACCAAACCTCGCCACCACCACAGCCTAACAAACCTATCCACCACCACTCACAATCAAACCTCACCATCACCATAACCAACCAAACTCACCATCACTAAAACCAACAAAACACCACACTCAACCAAACCTCACCGCCACAATCAAACCTCATCACCACAACCAAACCCCACCACCACCCACAATCAAACCTCACCACTCCCACAACCAACCAAAGATCACAACCAAACCTCACCACCACAACCAAACCCCACCACCACCCAATGGAAATAAAAGGACCCCAATGGAAATAAGTCACTCTGACTTTTTTTGGGTTATCCCAGGTTCTCTACACATATGCTGCTATGTATGATAATCTATGTAACTGTATTTGTGTTGTTAGGTAAGACACATATGCAACAGTTAGGTATCTTTATTTCGAAACGTTTCGCCTACACAGTAGGCTTCTTCAGTCGAGTACAGAAAAGTTGATAGAAGCAGAAGATACTTGAAAACGATGTAATCAGTCCATCACCCTTAAAGTTTTGAGGTGGTCAGTCCCTCAGTCTGGAGAAGAGCATTGTTCCATAGTGTGAAACAATATGGAGATGAAGTGACAGGATGGAGCCTTATATAGCGCCAAGAGGTGAGACGTAGGTCACTAGAAGAGGTAAGAACTCAGATGTTGGGAGGTCAGGTCCCTCTCAAATCCAGCCGTTCTCACTAGTAGAGGTAGTCTACTCGGTACTTCTATTATATGTACAACGGCATGATTTGAGAGGGACTGGACCTCAAAACTATTTAACACTCTAGGACTATTACATCGTTTTCCAAGGTCTCTGCCTTCATATCCAATTTTCTGTCACCGACTGAAAAGCCTACTTTACCAAAGTTCGATAGACACCTAAACTTTATAGGGTCTTGGACCTGAACAACTTCGTTTTCAAATACATTTATGTTCTAAACTTTTTGTGTATCACTGAAAGCCTACTTCAACCAAACTTTCAAACAAATACCTAACCTTGCACCAGTCTTACCAACAACTCATTAACCATAATCAAACTTATAACCAAACCTACACAACCAACCAAACCTCACCACACAACCAAACTCACCACACCACAACCAAACCTCACCACACCACAACCAAAACCTCACCACCAACCAACCAAACTCACTCACCACAACCAAACCTTCACTACCACAACCAAACTTACCATCAACTCTACCAAACCTCACCACCACAACGAAATCTCACCACCACAACCAATCCTCGCCAAAACAATAAAACCTCATCACTACAACCAAACCTCACCACAGCTAAACCTCACCACCATAACCTCCCCACCACAATAATGCCTCGTCACAACACACCTCGCTCCCACAACCAACCTTTCCCGCAATAAAACCTCATTACAAGGGAACCTTACACCACACCCAAACCCTTCCACCACAACCGAAACCTCATCACAACCAAACCTCATCACAATCCAAAACCAACCCCCCAACCCAACCTCACCACCACCTAACAAAACCTCACCACCACCCTGTACCAAGCCTCACCACCACACTCTACTAAAATATGTTCGCAAAGAAAAAAAAAGAAAAAAGACAACGAGAGCGACGACAACAGCAGCAGCAACAACAGCGTGGTCCTATGACTCACGGAACGAACAAGATTCAATTTTATTTATTTTTATATCAGAGAAGAGCTAATCCCGTAACAGTCATAAAGCGCCTGGAGACAGAGGCACTCAGGTAATGCACGGAAAGAATGATAAATTTTCAATTCCGTGGACTCGCACCCATGGCATACCACTCCTATAACTACCAAAATATTTACTGACAACTACAGAATCAGGTCTCGTTTCAAAACGAATTAATGCAAGCGAAAAATGCCTTAACTAGACAATAAATGGATGTGTGAGTACAGGGACAAACAAAAAAACTTGATGGAAATAAACAATGTTTAATTTTTAATATATTTACAGGGAAGCACTAAACCCAAAAGACTCGTACAGCGCCTGGGGGATGTGTGGTGAGCAAGTCTAAGCCGGAGGGAGGGTAGTGCCAATTCCTGAATCAAGAGCCTTTCCCGAGTATCAAGGCACCCAGCTTAAACCTTTTTTCACAAAATTTGATACTTTAGTGTGAAGAGAACCTAATGTAACATTTTAACCTTCACAGCCAGCATGCAAGACGGACCAGAGAAAGGTAATGTATCTCAGCCTAAGCTGGGAATATTTAGTATACGAAAATAATTCTTTCGAGGCAAGAGCCAAAACAAATGGACCTGGGATAACCCAACATAACCATGTACTATGAATTATATCCATTGTGAAGAATTAGACACATGCACAACACCTGGGTATCTTTAACCGTACCAGGTGTTGCACATGTGTGTAATTCATCAACTTGTCAATACTGTATACCACGGATCTAATGATTATATTGGGAACCTTCCACAAGGATGCCACCCACAATAATCGACTATAATCTTCGTAATAATTTTACTTTTAAATTAGTATGATCATCAGAATTGCCCATACGTCTCGCCCAGCCCGAAATCCAAAATTACATCACTAAACTACAGGTCACTAGTGAGAGAACCAATTTTTTTCACCCTGTCATAATTGAATGACAGGAGAGTTGCACTATAAGTAAGCATAATGCTTGTTTACTAGTATACTCACTAGTTTATTGGCTGCACGAGGAGTACCAGGCATGTGTAACACGTAATATACTCTAGAACACTAGAGGATACTCGTCATTCATCATTCATCAAGTGCCAGATACCAGATGACTGTTTCTCCAGTGTGGAAGCAATGTAAACTGAGGATAGACGTAGCGTGTGTGTGTCCAGGTGAGTGAGAACGGGTGTTGTGTGCATGTGATGAACCCGTGTCCTTCACTTCTTATACAGGTGTCCCGGTCTTTTTCTGCTGAGTTCAAGTAAAGCTGTGCTTCTTCCTGTCAAGTTTTGCTGCAACCTCTATGTAACTTTATTGATTTTTGATACGTTACATTACAGTGTTCCTCGTTTTTCTTGTCCTCTCATACTTTGCTGTTGTAATGCATATTACTGAGGATTGGGACTCATTTTGTCTCTGTTCTTTTAAGTAATTGTATCATCTCATTTGTATGATGATATCCTTATCACCTCCGCTAAATAAGTATGATATGCCATTCAAAACAGATATCCCAATGTAAAAGTGGCCCGGCCCGCCCTGTTGTACGGAAACTCGTAAAAGATTCAGATGTTAAAGAATACCTGCTAGAATGTTGGACGACATCCTCATTGCCTTACTGAAATCTTAGTTTGGAAGACTTTATTACCTCACGTGGAGCCCATCCAATGATGAAGTATAACATGGAAAGCTACCCTGCGTGATCGAGTATGACAGGAAACCCATCCTGTGTGAAGTGACAGGAAAACCATTTTGCGTGATGAAATATGATTAAAAAAAAACTATCCTGCGTGAAGTATGTCAGGAAACCTATCCTGCGTGACGAAGTATAACAGAAGTATCCTGCGTGATGCGTGATGGGTGTGCTAGGTAAACATAGTTCTTGTTCTAACTTTTGTCTGATCAAGGCAGCAAGACAGTGTAATATATCTAATTTTGAAAACAGTCATAACTTATTATGCAACTCCGCTTTTGACCTTTACACCAACATCAATAATTCTTTAATTCAAAAATAAGGGATTAAAGTAAATTCTGAGAATATATACAGATACACACACCTCTTGGTGTATTATAATTTATGTGATTACAAAATCATGTATCTGGCTCCTATAATATATATATATATATATATATATATATATAATAATAATATATATATATATATATATATATATATATATATATAATATATATATATATATATATATATATATATATAATATTATATATATATATAATATATATATATATATATATATATATATATATATATATATATATATATATATATATATATATTATATATATATAATATATATAAAATATATAATATATATATATAATATATATATATATATAATATATATATAATATATATATTATATATATATATATATATATATATATATATATATATATATATATATATATATATATATAATATATATATATATATATATATAATATATATATATATATATATATATATATGTGTATTTTATTAGCACACTGGCCGACTCCCACCAAGGTAGGGTGGCCCGAAAAAGAAAAACTTTCACCATTCACTCCATCACTGTCTTGCCAGAAGGGTGCTTTACAATACAGTTTTTAAACTGCAACATTAACACCCCTCCTTCAGAGTGCAGGCACTGTACTTCCCATCTCCAGGACTCAAGTCCGACCTGCCGGTTTCCCTGAACCCCTTCATAATTGCTACTTTGCTCACACTCCAACAGCACGTCAAGTATTAAAAACCATTTGTCTCCATTCACTCCTATCAAACACGCTCACGCATGCCCGCTGGAAGTCCAAGCCCCTCGCACACAAAACCTCCTTTACCCCCTCCCTCCAACCTTTCCTAGGCCGACCCCTACCCCACCTTCCTTCCACTACAGACTGATACACTCTTGAAGTCATTCTGTTTCGCTCCATTCTCTCTACATGTCGGAACCACCTCAACAACCCTTCCTT